CAACGGCTATTTCTGCAATTATTGTAATTAATATTCAAATTTCATCCTGTAATTATATATAAATGGAAAACTACAACCACTTCTGGTATCCTGCAAAAGGGTTTTTCCTCACAAATCTATTTGCTCATTTTATCTAACTGGTATCAGAGCCAGTGGGGAAGAACTCAAAAGCTTGAACTCTAATGGCATCATCCACCAAATATCCTTATACTTCAACTTTGAACGTGGGAAACTTTATTTCCTTACGTTTGAAACAAAATAATTATCTCTTGTGGCGTACCCAAATGCTTGGCTTAGTTGAGAGTCAAGACATGTATGGCTTTCTTAATGGAGAGACTCCTATGCCAAAGCCTTGTGTCACTAGTGCTGATGATGGTGTGACCAAAGATCAGCCAAATCCTGACTTTGCAGCATGGAAACGGTCTGACCGTCTCCTTCGAGGATGGATAAATGGGACTTTGAGTGAGGAGGTCCTTGGACTTGCAGTCGGTCTTGAAACGTCTGCAGAAATATGGAATGCCTTAGAGGAAGCGTTTGCACACTCTTCACAAGAGCAAGAGTTTCAATTGAATCAATCAATGACGACAATGCGCAAAGGTAATGATTCAATCCACGAATATATTCGTAAGTTTAAAACTACTTGTGATGAACTTGCAGCTATTGGGAAACCTATACCGGATAAGAACAAAGTCTTCTGGCTACTTCAAGGCTTAGGCAAGGAATATGAAAATTTTGTGACAACAATGCTCAAACCTCCAGTACCTTCATATCATGAACTTGTGCCACTTCTTAAGAGTCATGAGGCCCGAACTCAACTTCATGATTCTAGTGCTCAAGAAGTCCCTCAAATGGCTTTCTACAACAAGCAAACTAATGGGGGTCAGAATCGATGTCGAGGTAATGGATATAACCATTTCAATTCAAAAGGTCGTGGTTTTATTCTAGGTGCCACATCAAACTTCAGAAAGGAAGCCAACGAAGCACTTCCTAGCATAAGAAATTGGCACAGTGCACCACCAAGTCCAAATAAGAACAATTCAAGTTCAAGGGTGGTAGGTGAAATCAAGAACGAAGTTGCTTGCTAAATTTGTGGAAAAAGGAATCATACTGCCTTGAAATGCTTCAACAGATTCAATCATGCGTATCAAGGTGATCACCCTCCTACTACTTTGGCTGCTCTAACCATTATTGCAAATGATGATGATGATTCAGAATGGCATCCTGACAGTGGAGCTTCTAGTCACATGACTGCAAATCCAGGTAAATTAACTAATATTAAACCATATCATGGAAGCGATTCTGTGATGATTGGAAATGAAAAAAAATTAATGATTACACATGTTGGAGATTCAGAAATCAAAGGTGAAAATAATTCTATCCCATTAAAGAATGTTTTACTTGTTCCACAAATTACAAAAAATCTCTTATCTATCAGTCAACTTACAAAAGACTTACCCTTTTCTGTTGAGTTTAATGATATTGGATTTGTGATTAGGGACCGAAGAACAAAAGAAATAGTAGCAAGAGGAGGTCAAAGAGAAGGACTTTATGCACTAAATGGATATACAGCCCTCTTCTCTCATCGTTTTAGAAAGACAAATAAAGAAGGATGGCACCAGCGTTTAGGCCACCCTCAATATAAAATAATTGATTTTTTGTCCAAAAATCAGCTTATTACTATTAATAATAATGAAAGTATTAAGATTATTTGTGATAGTTGTCAAATGGGTAAATCTTGTCGACTTCCATTTATTAGTAGAGATGCTGATTGTGAACAACCTTTTTCTAAAATTCATTGTGACTTATGGGGTCCTGCCCCTGTCAAGTCAGTAAATCGTTTTCGATATTATGTGATTTTTGTAGACGATTGCACTTGATTTACTTGGCTTTATCCATTGAAGAAAAAGTCAGACTTCTATGATTGTTTTGTCCATTTTTATGAGTTTGTTGCATGTCAATTAGTAGCAAAATAAAAAATTTTCAAAGCGATGAAGGTGGAGAATTTGGAAGTAATAATTTTTCCTCATTGTTAGGTAAGTTAGGCATTCATCATCAATCTGCATGTCCAAAGACACCAAAACAAAATGGAGTTGCTGAGCGAAAACACCGCAATATTACTGAGTTAGGACTCACTATGATGTTTCATGCTAATATTCCTTCTAAATATTGGGTTGAATGTTTTAGCACACAGCTGTGTTTCTAATCAATAGATTGCCATCTCCTACATTAAAAATGGACTCACCATATTTTCGTCTTTTTCAGAAGCATCCAGATTATAGCTCCTTACGTGTTCTTGGGTGCAAGTGCTTTCCATTTTTGGGGGATTACCAAAAGAATAAGTTGGAACCTAAATCACTTCCATGCATTTTTCTTGGATATAGTACAAAGCACAAAGGTTATAAATGTCTATATTCCCCAACAAATAAAATCTTTGTCTCACGTCATGTTGTCTTTGATGAAATGCAGTTCCCTTTCAAAAATTCATGCGAACTCTATGATACAAGTAAAATTGGAGGAGAGCTGTCCACATACAATGAATGGATCGAGACTCAACTGGAGCAGGAGACAGTAAATCACTCAAACCTTCACATCTTTGATCCATCGTTAATTTCTTTGCCACAGGAAAGCTCTACCCCGATTGAACAACTGGAAATGAACTGCGGCTCGCAAGATGACAACAGGCTTGATGAATCACCAACCACAGAGACCATGGAATCAACAATAAGTCAGCCGACCGAGTTGACTCAATCTCATAATGTGAAATCATGCACTGGACAATTGAATCCATCTCAAGATAGCCATCATGCTGGTGATTTACCTTCCATACACGTGGAAATGGAGACAAATCAAAATGGTGCTCAAAATTCAAGCCTCCCTTCAAATAATTTCGATGATCAATTCACGAGTTCCAACAGACCAGAAGTTGAATTGTCTCGCACTCATAACATGGTTACTCGAGCTCAACGGGGAATCACTAAGTTGAACCCTCGATATGCCTATCTTCACAAAGAAATTCCAAGAGAACCAAAAACCGTGATATCGGCATTGAAGAACGATGGGTGGAAAGCTGCCATGCATGAAGAACTACATGCTTTAAAAATAAATGATACATGGGATCTTATCCCAAGGGAGGCTCACATAAATGTGGTAGGTTGTAAATGGGTTTTTAAAACCAAGTTAAAACCTGATGGGAACTTGGATCGCCTGAAAGCTCGATTGGTTGCCAAGGGATTTCACCAAATTGAAGGGCTTGACTTCTTAGAAACCTTCTCTCCTGTTGTCAAACCAGCAAGCATACGCACTGTCATCACTACGGCATGCATGAAAGGTTGGACAATTCGACAACTTGATGTTAAGAATGCATTCCTCCATGGGTATCTTTCTGAACCAGTATATATGGAGCAACCTCCTGGCTTCATTGACTCTGTGCATCCTTCTCATGTGTGCCGCCTGAAGAAAGCTTTATACGGACTTAAGCAAGCTCCAAGAGCCTGGTTTGATCGTTTAAGCAATTTTTTTATTAAATTTTGGTTTCTTTTGTAGCATCGTTGACCCTTCACTTTTTATTTGCCACTCATCACAAGGTACACTCTTACTTTTAATTTATGTTGATGATATGCTTTTAACTGGAGATAATTCTAATCTTGTGCAGTGGTTTCTTAAAGAACTTGGTCGTGAATTTGCTATCAAGGACCTTGGATCTATCCATTATTTTCTTGGAATAGAAGCCCACACGACCAAAAATGGGTTATTTCTTTGTCAAGCAAAATATGCAAAAGATCTCCTCCACCGAGCCCAAATGGATGGGTGTAAGCCTATATCAACACCAATGGCAACCAAGGATCGAGCCGTAACTGATGATAAGTTGTTCCATGATCCCACTTTCTATAGAAGTATAGTAGGTGGCTTATAGTACTTAACTTTGACTCGTCCTGATATCTCATATGCTGTTAACTTTGCATGTCAATTTATGCATGAACCAACCATGGGGCATTTTCGAATAGTTAAACGCATTTTACGTTACATAAATGGTACTATTGATTTGGGATTAAATATTACTTCACAAGCTACTTTCACTCTTTATGCCTTCTCTGATGCTGATTGGGCAAGTTGTCCTATTACTCGTTGCTCTACAACAGGATATTGCACCTTCCTTGGAGGAAATTGCATTTCTTGGTGTGCAAAGAAACAACCAACTGTTTCTCTTTCAAGTGCAGAAGCTGAATATAAATCGATGGCATCTACAACAGCTGAGATAACTTGGCTAACTTATCTACTCCGAGATACTGGTATTGACATCCCCAATCCACCAATCCTCCACTGTGATAATATAAGTGCCTTGCACATGACTGTCAATCCTGTGTTTCATGGGCGCACAAAGCATGTCGAGATGGACTACCATTTTGTTCGGGAAAATGTAGCCTTTGGAAATCTTATAACTCGTTATGTGTCGTCATCGTCTCAACTAGCAGATATCTTCACCAAGCCTTTACCAAGAACCTCGTTCAATGAGTTACGAACCAAACTTGGCCTATCCCTTCTAACTCGGCCAAGTTTGAGGGGGAGTGTAAACGCATTTGATAAATATCAAAGA